GTTGGTCGATAACTCGATCGACTATAAATTGTTATCTTTTAAAGATGCTTATTCAGGTTACAATCAAATCCCCATGGCGAGGAACGATAAACAGTACACTGCCTTCATGACAAAGTTGGAGAACTATTACTACAACATAATGCCCTTTGGTCTGAAAAACATGGGCACTACCTATCAATGAATTATGAACAAAATCTTCACGGGGAGATCGAAGACACGCTCGAGGTCTACATGGACGACATGATCGTTAAGTCACGAGCAAAAAATGATCACACTGTCCACCTGAAAAAGGTCTTTGACCATGCCAGAAAATACAAGATGAGGTTCAATCCAGAAAAATGCACCTTTGGAGTACGCGCGAGCAAATTCCTCAGGTTTTACCTAACCGAGCGAGGAATCGAGGCTAACACGACAAGTGCAAGGCTTTATCCGAACTCTTAACACCGGGCTCAAAGAAATCCATCCAAGTTTTGAACTGAATGCTCACTTCACTTTCCCGCTTCGCGGAAATTTTTTCCCAACACACGCTTCTATTCTTCAAATTATTACGCAAAGAGGCAGCTTTTGAATGGACAGAGGAGTGCGATCAAACCCTCCCCCATCTCAAGAAAGACCTCTCGTTGCCACATGTATTTTCGCGACCAGGTGACGAGGAGATACTATTCCTATACTTGGTCGTCTCAACAGAGGCCGTGAGCGCGACCTTCATTCGAGAAACCCCTGACGGATAAAAACCAATATACTTCATGAGCAAAGCTCCGCAAGGCCCTGAGGTCAGATACCATCTGATTGAGAAAGTATTTTGGCCCTTATCAACGTGGCGAGGAGACTCGGGCACTACTTCCTAGAACACACGATCACGGTACGAACATACCAGCCCATAAAACAGCTTCTTGGTCAACCAGACATGGCTGGAAGGATGCTCAAATGGTCTTTGGAACTTTCAGAGTTCGACATTCAATACGAGATCAGGAAATCTCTCAAGGCCTAAGCACAGGCTGACTTCGTCGCATAAATGACCACACTTGAGACTCCTACCAACGGAAACCAAAAGTGGACCATGCATGTTGACAGAGCATCCAACTCGACCAGGAGTGGAGTAGGCATTCTCCTTGAAAACGAAGAAGGTGTGGTAGTAGAGAACTCCCTCACCCTGTATTTTCCCTCGTCGAACAACCAAGTCAAATATGAGGCCCTCCTTGTGGGATTGTGCCTTGCTGACGACCTTAACGCCCAAGAATTAAAGATTTTTACAGACTCCTAACTCATCGCGTCTCAGTACGAGGAGATTATCAAGCCAAGAATGATAACCTCATCGAATACTTGGCCTTGGTCAAGAAACAAATGGAAAGCTTCAAACACGTGGAGATCAAACATGTCCCCCGCGAGCAAAATACTCGGGTCGATACACTGTCTAAACTTGTGAGCACGGTGAAAAAAAGGGGGGAACAAATCGGTAATCCAAGAAACTCTTCCCCATCCGAGCATCCAGGAGATATCCATGATCCTCGATGTGCATGCATCGGTGACAGCAACTACTGGATGACCTCGGTATACAACTATTTGACCAAGGGAAAACTTCCCCCCGACCAAAAGGAAGTCGCCACAATCAAACAGAGATCTTGTCCATACATTTTGCCCAGGAAGAAGCTCTACCGAAGAGGATTCTCTATCCCACTGTTGAAGTGCATCGAGGAGGCCAAAATCCCCGACATCTTACAAGAGATTCATGAAGGGATCAATGCCCAACATCTACGAGGAATATCTTTAGCTCAGAAGGCCTTACATGCAGGATACTACTGGCCCACCATGCAGCAGGACGCAAAGAAGCGTGTTTGGAAATGAGAGAAGTGCCAACGTCATGCAAATATGCACCTGGAACCACCCCACGAGCTCAAAACATTGTCATCCCCGTGGCCTTTCGCCTGGTGGGGAATGGATATCCTCGGGCCATTCACCCAAGGGTCTTACCAGAAAAAGTTCTTGATCATCGTTGTTGATTATTTTACCAAGTGGATAGAGGCTGAAGCCCTCGCCCGTATCACGTCGCACAATATACTTTGTTTCTACAAAAGAAACGTACTCGCTCGATTCGGCATACCCTAAGCGCTCGTCACTGATAACATGACCCAATTCATTAACAGGGAATTCTAATACTTCATGGCCAAGTTAGGAACCAAGCAACAGTTCACTTCAGTCTAGCACCCACAAACAAACGGGCAGGCTGAAGCTGTGAACAAGGTCATCCTTCAAGGACTTAAATGAAGTTTGGGAGAAGCCAAAAAGAGATGGGTCGAGGAACTACACAGTATGCTCTGGGGATACCAAATGAAACCATATTCCACTACCGGGGAAACTCCCTTCCGACTGACATACAGAACCAAGGCAGTCATCCCCGTCGAAATCAGAGAACCCTCAAGACAAAATGAATATCCTCTCGACGAGGAATTGAATGCTGTCTGAGCAGAACTCAATCTAGTTGAGGAAATTCGATCTGGAGCGACTCTCCGATAGACTAAGTTAAAATAACAAATATCTCTGTGACATGACGCCAAAGTCATTAGACACAAATTCCAGGTCAACAGCTTGGTCCTGTGGAGAAACCAAAAAGATAACTGCGAGGGTCAACTAGTCACTAACTGGGAAAACCCTTATGGCGTTCGGGTAAGAACGGACAATGGGGCATACCACCTTGAACACCTAAGTGGGGAACCACTGCCTTGAACATGAAACACTGAAAAACTAAAACAATATTATAGTTAACTCCCAAACGAACATTGGACCTAACAGTCGGCCGACCTCATCTCACAAACAATGACACGTGCCCGATAACAGAAGTATGCTGAGGTAAGTGCATAACATCCAAAATCAAGACGAAAAGGCAGGCCTTGCTCATGGGATGAGCAACGCTTTATCCCGGTGGGGATACCTCCACCGAGCTTCACCATCGCAAGTACCAGATTGGCAAAACACCCAACTCACGATGGGACCATTCATGCCACCGGTTTGAGGTCGTCACCATGACCTTAGTCCCGTCTTCGCAAAATCCAACTATGCTCCCTCGACACCTCTCCCTACACTGTCAAGCGTAAATTCATGTCGAGCAAGTGTTCCCACACTTAGAAAAATAAACATGCAAACATACAACAAAAAGATATCCAACATACAAAATAAAACGTACAAATTAAAGGCATTTAAAATGTCGACATAAGGTCGACGTTGTCAGAGTATTACAAAAAGTACGGGATCACAGGCCCCCAAAAGACACCTGGAAAAGCCCTTTGTTCGAACATTAAAATAAAAAATTGGCATACAGGCCGAGTCAAAATACGGACACACAGGCCCAAACAAAATAACTTGGAACAAAATCATTCGTCACCGGGATTACCGTCATTGTGAGTCTTGTCGGGGGAAGGATGAACTAGCTTCCCGTCAACCACTTGAGTCAGGACCTCAACACCATAAAGTGGCAACACCATACCATCCACAAACCAATGGGCAAGCCGAAGTTTCAAATCGAGAGGCCAAACGAATTCTTGAAAAACTGTGTCGAGCTCAAGAAAAGATTGGTCGCAAAAGGTTGACGAAGCATTATGGGTGTATCGTACCGCCTACAAGGCTCCTATTGGCTTAACTCCACTTCAAATGGTTTACGAAACTTTCCATTTACTGGTTGAAACGAAGCATAAAGCTCTCTGGGCGTTAAAGTTGTTAAATTTTGATCTGAGTTTGGCAGGTGAAAAAGAAAAAAAAATCAAATTCACGAGTTATAAGAAATGCGACTGAATGCATACCACTCAAACAAAATCTACAAGGAAAAGGTTAAGTTCTTTCATTACAAGAAAATTCGGCAAAAGGACTTCCAAGTTTGCCAAAGGTTGCTTCTCTTTAATTCCCAGTTGAGACTTTTTCCAGGAAAGTTGAAATCAAAATGGTCTGGACCTTTTGTGATAAAAGAAGTTAAGAATTTTGGAGTGATTGTTGTGGAAAATCCTAAGTCAAAAGAAAGTTGGACAGTAAATGGACAACGATTGAAGATATATTGTGGTTGCGAGTTTAATCGGAAACCTCTGTCATTTCTCTTAGTGATCCATAAAATCACCATTAACTGTCGAGCTAGCCAATGTTAAACAAAACGCTAGTTGGGAGACACCCCAATATTATAAGTATTTTCTATTTTATGTGTTTTGAATTGAATCGGGTAGAATTGAATCGGGTGGAGTTTGGCTAAAATTATGCAGTTGTGTTCAAAACAGTCTTTTCTATTTCTGGGTGGCTTGCCGGGCAAACCATTTCATTTGTCGGGCGAATGTGCTTAGACAGACAAAAAAATTTGCGTTTTTTTACTAAATGGGAAAAAAAGCCAAACTCACTTTTGGCCCATATGTCAGGCCCACACCCTTTTGTCACTTATCCCACTTTGGTCAAAACATTTTCTCATTTTGTCACAAAACCTAGCCGTGAAGCTTTGTGCTCTCACTCTTTCTCTCAAGTTCTTCTTGCCAATTGCTCTCATCCTCACCATTCTCCAAGGTAAGCTTATCTACATCTTTGCTCTCTTTGTTTGTAATTAGGATTAGAAGATTGTTAGGATGTGCATTTTGAAACCCTAGGATTAAGATTGATTTTTATCATGCTATTAGGGTGAAATTTTAGTAATGTCGTGTTAGGACTGATAAAAGTTGGGATTTGAGTATAGAGAATAGCATAAACATAGGTCTGAGCACGAAATTTTTTCTGGAAGTCGTAAGGTTCGTCGGGTGAACCATGTTATTCGCTGGGCGAATCTTGACAGGAAGGCCTTTTCAGTCTATTTTTGCTGTAATAGTTTTGGTGGGTTGCTAACATGTTGGATGCTATTGGGTGTGTTGTTTCTTCTTGTTTTTTTTGCAGATGTCTTTTAGGAAACAAACCAAGAAACAAAAGACCACCGAAGCTAGTGGCTCGGTTCCACCAAGAGCATATGATGCAGCTAGATTTTCAGTGCTTGGCATCAAGATCTAATGGCGGTAATGGATAAGAAAAAGATACTTGCGGAAAGGAAGTTCACATTTGACACTCATGGACAATATGGAAAGATTGCAAATATTTTCAATCTCAAGAATTGGGGTCGTCCTCTCACTTCGGTTGATCGAATAAACTTTGAGGTTATTCGGGAATTTTATGCAAATGCTATTCAACTGGAGGGAGAGAGATTCAATTTCAAGACTTTTGTTAGAGGAAGGGAAATCAGTTTCAGCCGCAATACCATCAATACACTTCTCGGATATCCTACAACTATAGGTATGCATGACTTGGATGTGTATTTGCGGGAACATGGCAAGCATTAAGATCATCAAGTAATTAGTAGCTCAATCCTCAAGGAAGGAAGACAGGTAGACTTGAACCATCAGGAAGAGCTAATTAGGTACAAAAGAGAGGATATGAAGCCGGAAGCTCAAGCCATCCTTCTCTTGATCGTGCTCAACATTAAGCCCAGATTTCACAAGTCCTCGACACCTCTTGAGATAGCTCTACTGTTGTACTTCATCATGGAAAACAAGGAGGTTGATGTGCAAATATCATTGCCAATGAGATGAAGATGTTCATTGAGAACACGCGTAGGCATGGGGTACATTCTGCTTCCCCTATCATTTTTCCTTGGTTAGTTACTGCTTTGTGTGTACAGCAGGGTGTTTGTTTTCCAAATGAGGTAAATGAAAGAGTGAGGGTCTTGTGGATGATGATTATGTTACTCGGTATTGTGTGGGAACCAAGGCAAAGAAGAAGGCAAGTGCTGGTGAGTCTTCTGGTGTAGGTGAGCAATCTGAGGGTCTCGATTATGCAAATTGGGATCTAAGGATGAAGAAAACGTGTAATTACACGTGGGACATGCTCGAGTCCCATAGGAGGTCTGATGAGTTCCTTCATGATTCCATGGCGAAGTTGTACTTACATCAGTCGACTTCTCACGAGGTGCCGTCCTTTCCTACTATGGCTGATTATGACGAGTATGCTAACTGGCCTGAGGACAGGCGTCCTTTCTTTTCGGAGGTGGCAACAGCGGGTGATGATGATGATGATGATGATGATGAGATTTTGGGATAGTGGCGACAAAGTGAAGATTTCTTTTTAGTTTTATTTAGTGCATTACTTTTCAGTTTATGTTGAACTCTGGTATTAATTTTGTTGGTTTAGTTTTGGAACTGTGTACTACTTTTTGTGGTGTTTTGACACCAAAGATCTTTGATAATGCTTTATGTGTTTTTATGTTTTAATTAAGTTTATAGTTTATTATTAGTAAGTTTCAAGTGTTTTAGAATTTTTAATTTTATGCTTGTACAAAGAAATTTTGGTAATGTTTGTTCCTAACCAATGTGTGGTTTATGGTTGCTCATGAAGCAAGTAGTGATTTTCATAGGCTTTGTCAACTCTAAAATTGAGTGGTGATGATAAAAGTTTTGATGATGTGCCTGTGCAAGGTATTAATTTTATCGCTTTGTAGAATGAAAAACACGATGATGGAAGTAGTGTTTTATGCAAAAATCGTGTTATGTATTGTTTTGTAAATACTTGTTCAAGTTTGAATCATTAGGATAAAACCACAAAGTGAGTGACTTTTCAATGTTCACCAAATTGAGTTTAATTATAGTAATTGTATTTTAGCTCGAACGATTCATGTCTAATCTTGTTTTAAAAATTGAAATTGTGGAACTTAGAAAGGATCAAGGCATTGTTTGTTTAATGAGAAAAACCACCAATTCCAAAAGGGCTTCATTTCACCTTGGAAGTGTGCGCGAATTTGTAAACCCTTTTTGAGCCGAATTATTTTTGCGAATGAATCATTCAAAAGTCCAACAAATTATTAAGAATACCACTTAGTAATTTTGTCGTGGATCAAAAATAAATTCAATGATTGATTCATTTTCAAAGTTCTTGTTTGTAAACACTTTACCCAATTAAATTGAACCATGAATGAAGAGAAAATTCTTGTTTGAAAGAGAAAAAAATGTATAAAGTTGGGAAGTCTGGTTCTTGTGAAAGAAAAAAATATTGGTGGGCAATGCATCCCTTAAGAACTCAAAAAGAACTCAAAAAGAAAGAACGGAAGAAAAATTTGTTTGAAAAAGAAAGTGAAAAACATGAGAATACAAAGAAAGGGGATGCATTGTGAGAAAAGAAGGAAGGATTGAGCAATTGTGGAAATTGTAAATTGATGAAATTCTCTTCATGATTTTGTATCCCTTTTTGCTTCAATGGCCTTATATATATATATATGATATCCTTTCTTGTTAAACCAAGCCAAGTTACAACCTATAAAAGTTCTTTTGTGATCTTTGTTTCATTGTTTCTCTTTTTGATTGACGAGATGAAAGCATGAATTGTTCCGAATGTTAGCATGATTACTAGTGAAAGTGTTATGTCTATTGTAGATTGTTTTACAAAGTCCATCTTCATTTGAATGAAGTGAGAAATAGGTGATTCAAAGTTGAGCTTGTAGGTACTTGTGTTGCATATTGTGATGTTTGTGTTTAGAACTTATCTTACTATCTTGTTTTGATTCTTGTAAAGTGATTAAGTTGTCAAGTTTGAACCATCCATTTTTTTTGGTTGATTTTGTACTTTAAGTTTTTTCTTGTTAATTTTGAAAGTTTGCCTTTGATTGGGGACAAACACCCATCTCAATATTACTCCAAGTCAAGCACACTTAGTTGTGGAGTTCTTATAGTTAGACTACCGAAAAGAAGATGCATCTTGTTGATATAGGTAGTACCAATTAATCCTTATAAGGCTTCCTTCAACCATGCAGTCTCATACCTGCACAGTCTCAGGATCCTTCTCATTCCGATGTGGCAACAACCCTTTCCCCCTTCGACCTTGGGTGTTACATGCGGTGCAACCACTTCTCGCCTTCTTCGGCCTCAGATGTTACATGTCCACCAGCTTCCGCGTGGTTCGTCCTCGAACCACATCATACTGGAGAGGTATAACTCTGATACCATTTATAACATCCCAAATTGCATTCAGGATTATCGACTGATCCTACAAACCAACACGAATCTTTTCAGTGTGAGTGAACTTTAAACTCATATCGAATGTCAATAGATCCAAACTCTTTTTAAACATTAAAAGATAACTTGTAACTTGTACAAATTTCAATTGAATATCATGATATTTTGTTGTTTTATTTCAAAAAGGGGGAAACTACACATATTTTCAAGATCTATTGAAATAATACTGACAACAGACATATATCATGGGAAATTTGTAAAAATATATGATATTTACCTTTCATTTTCTTTGTGAAAAGAGGAAGTTAATGGATATTTTAAAGTTAATGGATATTTTAAAACGAAAGATAATTTTTGTGTCATTCTAATAGATTTTAAAAAGGCATTTATTTTGGAGATTTCAAAATATTTCTTGAAAGTCTAAAACAATTGAAAGAACAAAAACAATAATAATAATAATAATAATAATAATAATAATAATAATAATAATAATAATAATAATAATAATAATAATAATAATAATAATATAACTGTTTCATTAATATTGTAAATTAATTTATAATTATTTTTAAAAAAAAGTTTATGATTTGTTTTGACTTTTTTAAAAATAATTTTTATAGTGTAACATAATTTTATTTAAAAATAATTTATAAAGAATTTTTTTATAAAAATTTCGAATAAAAATTTAGTTTGAATAGTTATTCTTAAATTATTATTTTAGACGTTTCATCATTTTAGTGAAACTTTTTTTGGATATCAAAATTTCAAAAAATCATTAAAATTTGAAACTATTTCAAATAGTTTTTCATAAAAATTATTTTTGAAATACAAAATTTTGGAAAAAATTGTGATTTTGATTATGATTTGATCTTCAATAATGAATATTTATATTATAAGATGTCAAAATTAGTTTTTCAATTTAGAAAAAAATGAATATAAAAATTTGTAATATTTTGAAAATTGATATTATAAAATCATTTTCAAAAATATAAAAAAAAAATATTTTTTTTAAAGATAAAACAAACATGTTCAGTAAAAAAAATTTACAAATAAGTTTTTCATATAAGCTTCAAATGAAAGTTTGGTTTGAATAGCTATTCTTAAAATGTTATTTTAGGTATTTCATCATTTTATTGAATCTTCATTTGAATATCAAAATTTCAAAAAATCACATAATTTACAAGATATCTCAAATAGATTTTCATAAAAATTATTTTTAAAATACTTTTTTTTTTTATAAAAATCATGATTTTGACTATGTTTTAATTTTCTATAATGTATGTTTATGTGTTATAGGATGTTGAAATTAATATTTTAATTTAGAAAAAATAAATATAAAAAAACTTTTAATATTTAAAAAAATAATTTTATAGACTCTATTTTTAAAAATAAATAAAAATCATTTTTTTAAAAGTGAGACAAACAGGAACATAAACAATAAAGTATGTAAAATTCATAAAAAGTTGACTATCTATATGAGGAATTTTTTTTTAGCAATAACCATGTTTTGAAAGAAAAAAATACAAATAACTATATTTCGGAGAAAATTATGCAAATAATCATGTTTTAGAATATACATCAATTGAAGCTCCATCTCACTTGGCGCATGCACTCACCTTTTTGTCTTAGGTGCCTCCTCATTTGGCACGTGCATTTTCTTTTAGCCATGTGAGATGGCGCATACACTGTAATATGGAAAGGGGACGCCATCTGAGATGACTACTACGTGTAATTGTGTTTTCTATATATAAAACACCAACTTCTCCATCATTTTCACACTTTCTCACATTCTCTTTTCATTTTCTCTATGTTTTTTGCATCATGACATCTCCCATGATTTTCACTAGAGATGGGTATGTTATTTTCTCGGTCATCAAACCTCCGATGAAAATGAAATTTTGGCACATTCACTCCATGGAGCATCTGAAGAGATAGTTGATGCGATGGCTAGAGGGAGACATCGAAGCTGGGGAATAAATTAGAAGGATCCGGAGAAGAAGAACAACCACCTCACTTGCAACTGGAAGACCTCAATCTTGGTTAGAGGAAGTCAAAACAGACAGAGACGTAATGGTGATGATGCATGGCTCAGATGAAATTGTTTTGACGGTTGTAATTTCTTAGATGTTTTATCATGTTTTTATTTGTTGTTTGTGTATGGTTTGTTGTAACAAATGCTCTTAATGGGAGAAAAAAGTTACGTTTAGATCTTAAAAAAATGCAGATAGTTTGCATACAATTTTTATGTTGTCGTGCTTGTAGCACGAGTGGGACAATTTTTTCGACTGTGTTCGACCTGACGACATAAACCACGCTTTCTTTCTAGCTTGTCAAGGGAGTCCATT